AGAAACAAAACAAAACAACTTAACCTTCTTTTTTTTCTTGTCACTTCAAAACAAGTTGAAGCTTAATTGGGCAGCTAACCCTTAGTATTCCCACAACAAAAAAAGACACCCAGCATAGCCCCACCTCCTCTAATCCACTATGCACGCGCGTCATCTCAACTCTCCGTTTTTGTTGTTGTTTCCCCCCCTCCCCCCTCCCCATTTTCGCTTTGTTAACTCTCTTCGTACATAGTTCCTAGTCGGAATATAAATATTAACATGTACATATGCCCATGTATATACTATATTATATACATTATATATACGTGCTCCTTTGATCCCCTATTAGACGGGTACAGTTTGAGTCCACAACCTGTTTTCCCCTATTTGCTATTGGCACCACCGATGCTACCCCCCACATGCACATTGCCGCGTTTGCAAACCCCCAAAGTGGGAAAAGAAGCAGCACTCGGTTGTGGTCTCTCTTTTGACATGGATGGCTCTTGTCGTGAAAAGGACTTACGCGTCATCACTGTAACTGCTACTCTCATCAATCATGGTCGCTCCGTTGCTGGAATGGTGCCTACAGTGCGTGGAGCTCGAACCCTCCACCGGGTTTAGAATCCATGGGTCACTCAGTAACTCCTGCGCCGTCGACCGCGCTGAGGGATCTCGCCACAGGCATCTCTGCAAAAAAGCCATCACCGCACTAGAAAAGTGGTACCCCTTTGGAAGCATGTTGGGGAACAACTCCCCTTGCGTCTCCGCCACCAGCATCATTGTGGCGTACTGAGTCTTCACCTTCGAAAAGGGAGGAGTCCCCGTCAACATCTCAATCACGCAGCAGCCAACAGACCACACATCACTCTTCAATCCCACATTCTGAGAGAGAATTACCTCGGGTGACATAAAATACGCCGTTCCTGCCAGTGCGGAGGGAGCATTAGAGTCGAGAAGATCTTTCGCTGTGCCGAAGTCTGATATCTTTAGTGTTCCATTTGGATCCACAAGAAGATTGTCTCCCTTCAGGTCGCGGTGCATAATGTTCTTGCTGTGCAGATACGACAACCCCTCCAGCATCTGTCTTGTGTAGATGGAGGCCTGCTTCTCCTGAAAGGGACCAAAGATGCGGAGAACGCTGCTGATGCTCCCCCCGGAAACGTACTCCATGTAGATGCGCAGGCAGCCTTCGTCGCATTCCTCACCCAGGCACTTCACAATGTGTGGATGGTCAAGAAGCTTGAGTAGTGCAAGCTCCTTCCGCACCGCCTCCAGTGCTTTGCTTTTCGCTCCATTTACAAAGGTAATTTCCTTTACGGCTATAATGTGATTCGTGTCACGGTCCATTGCCTGAAAGACAACGCCAAAACTACCTTTGCCTATCAGCGCCTTGTGTGCAAGGCTAACATGCATAGGGCCCTTTTCCTCGGAATCCTGCGAACGTGTGATACTGCTGTGCGTCACACCACATAGGCTACCACGACGCCACTGCGAACAGCATTTGCTGCCACCACCATCAAGTTCCTTCTCGCACCCCCTCTTGGGGCGATCATCGTGCAATTTTATCGGTGTAGTGGTAAACACTCCCCCAGCTGAGGCGTTCCAGAAGGCTTCCGATACCAACGACGAGGGAGCAACGCGGACATGAAACGACTCAGGAGAGGGTGAGTACTTCACAGGGGTGGTGGAGTCCCCTGCCTCCACCACGACACTATCGTCCTCCACACGGCAGTCATCCTCCCCGCAGAGGAAAAAGGAGGGAGTCCGGCGTCGACGGTGGCTCAGTGATGAAGAGACACCACTGTCAAGCAACAGCGGAGGATCTGCTGTCAACACCTCCATTCCACTGCTGTGCGTGGAACGAAGCGTACTACCGAGTGGGGGGCTACTGCAGCCACACGACACCGGTAAATTAGTATTGCAGCATGAGCGCGTACAGTCAACATGCGCTCCCGTGTAAGCATCACGCTGTAGTTTTGAGGATGTTCCAATGACGCGTTTCTCAAAGTTCAACTTTGATCTATTCGTTGTCACGAAGGAGAACATCTTCAGACTATTATTCACACTTGCTAAAAACGTTTTTTTTTTTTTCTTCTTCTTTTGTTTGTTCAGATTCTTTTGTGTTGTTGTTTTTTCCCTCTTGTTCCTTTTTCGTTTTTGTTAATTTTTTTTGTTTTCAGCACAGTCACTCTTGCTTTGCCTCACTCTCCCCCTCTAACTCGTGCTTGTTTTTTGTTTTGTTTTTAGTGATTCTTTTTGTTTTTGTTTTTGTTTTTTGTTGTTTATTTTAGATTTGTTGCCGTATTGGTGTACACGCGGACGTACGATGTAGTGCACGCACCAACCACACTACCGCGAGCCCTCTGCCTTGTGAACGTGCGCGTGTGTTTGGGTACCGGTTCACCCGTCAGGTTGCGTTAGCGGTGATGTTCGCCTCGCAGTCAACGCCAAATGGTTCCCTGCCTCCCCGCTCTCAACCCAGCGGTACGCCCAAAGCAGCGGAACACACAGGCAAACGCAAGGTGCAGATCTATTATGTGTTGCTGATGCTTTCGGACCTCTTTCCCTCAGCAAAGTTTCTCTCCTGCCAAAACAAAAATTTCCCCCAGTACAGCAGCCCGCAGTCTCCAGGGCGGGGCGTTTCAAGCGCTGCGTAGAGCCTCTGCACCTGCGCGATGACACACGAAGTGTGTGGTGGACGCCACGCAGTTACCGGTCGCGTTGCTTCACCCGTCAACGGCGGCGAGACGCGCCGTACGTTCGGGCGAAAAGCGGAAGGGCAAAAAAAAAAAACTGATCCGTCACACGCCCGCACCGCCTGGTGTCGTGTGCGTGTGGATCCGCGTGGGTGAGTCAAGCGGTGCAGCGCCAGCGGGAGGAAGGGGAGGAGGCGGGAAGGAAGCACAACGTGGGCACCACGCTCGCCAGCAGCAAACAACCTTGTGGGCTAGCACACACGCAGAAGTGCAGCAGCAGCAGCAGAAGGATAAGAGAAGAAAAAAAAAAAAGCACAAGCGGTAGCGACGATGTGGCGGAAGCCAAATGAAAACAGCAGGCAAACCAACCAACCAAAAAAAAAGCCGTTCGTTTCCCACGCCCACCCATCCCCTCCACCAGATACGCAAGATAAGGAAGAAAAAGAAGGGAGTGTGGGGAAGTCCATGCGTACCTCTCCGCAGAGCTATCAGGCAAAAATGAGGAAAAACTCCAACGCACCCTCACAACACAACACACCCCGCAGGGCGCAAGTGCAGGCGGGAAGAAACACCCCCAAAGTAAAAAGAAGAAAAAAAGCAAAATAAAAATAAGTAAGCAGCTGACACCCCCCCGCAACAACACACACACACACACACA